CGCGTGGGAGCGACGTGTCTCGAGAGACTGACAGCTGACATTCTCATCCTACGCAGGAATATTAGCGGCGACCACGGTGCCGATCCTGTACGAGACAAGACGAACTGTTGAGCAACGATTAGAGCGAGTCCGCGTCCACATTGAGACCATTGGATCGCCCTATAAAACCCGAGATGAGCAAGATCGTTCTCACCAGCGGAAACACAACAGGCAACCAGCAGTCTCTTCCTGATCCAATACCGCTGCCTTTTCCCTAGCTGCTCAAGTTTGCTTTGTCGCATCTCCCTTGCGCAACAACCGGGCTTGTGTTGGCTATTGATCTTGGCAGCGCTTGCTTGATCAGCTGACTGATCGCAACGTTAGCAGAGGAACTCACTCTCACAAGTAAAGCACCCTTCCGTCGGGACCACGCCTTCTATTTGCGACCGTCCCGAGCGGAAGGAGATGTTGGAAGTGAACACGGATGAGCTGGCGAAGTATCTATGGGCGGCTGGAGGCAGGCCCATTACGCCTTCAGCGACACCCTCGTCCCTCAGCGCCTTGTCGGGGCCCGGGATCGTTCCTGATGATATTGTTGAGATCTCTAAAGCAGCCATATCTACACCAATGAAGTCTCACCGTATCCTGCCTTGAGCTTAGACTCAATGAGGACCCCCCGATCTCACAGAGTTAGTTGATCATGCCCTCGCGCATCGATGGCAGCCGCTGGGGGTTACCGCCTTATTCGGTCGCCACGGATACAGTTGAATGTTCGACATCGGGATAACCTTTTTGCCTCTGCCCTCTGTTGAAGGCACCCAACGATCCTGATCAACGGATAAGCCCGACCTATTCCTTGATGCAAGACAATGCCCCGTTTCACGAATCCAAGGCCACCAAGGTGTTCATCGCCTGTTAATTCCCCCGTTCCCATTGACTACTGTGGCCTGCTTGCAGCCCCGATCTCAGCGCCACTGAACACGTGTCGGCGTGGATGAAGTCTTTGATTGACAAAACCTGAAGCTTTTCAAGCCGCATGGGAAGCTGTCCCTGAAGATCTTCTGGTCCGTTCGTGCCAATCTATGTCCCGCAGGCTAGAAACTGTTCTGTAGTTCTAGCGGTACAATCGGCTACTTTCGAACACAAACCTCTGTTTGTTTGGGTACCTACATGTTTCTCGCCAACATAGCCTGTCTTCGCTCCCTAAGTTCATTCGTGAGACCCATCCGCTTTGACCTCTCTGTTCAGACGGATCCACCGACAAAAGTTCCAAGGGCTCAGGTGCATTTCCGCTACAAGGAATATCTACTACCTTAGGTAGCTGCTCGCGCTTACAGTAAACAAGTATCATCGCAACAACAACGCTCATTCTGCAACTCACCCCAGTACATGTGCTACTGAGGGACAGTCGTCGATAAAGTATTTTCACTATTTCAAGCGCCTAATCTCGGCCGCGCTTTTTCCCTTCCTTCCACCATCGCTATCAGTCTCGCCTCACGCGAATCGTTCCAAACCTGTTGGGCCCGAGGTTCTACGCTCAGGTTTCCTTGCCTGCCAGTAGCGCCAGCAACGGCAAAGTTCGGCCTCATCCTCTTGACAACAAGCTCGAAGTTCATACCGCAGAGTGCAAAACATTCAAGATAGGCAATGCGTAGGATTTCCAGCAGCGGCTGACTGTTGGCCACCTGCTGTGCTGGGAAGTTGTCAACCAGCGATAATGGTTCCCCAACCGCAGGCGCCATCCCGTTGATGGGGCCTATTGTGATAAGGCTTAAGGGATTAAAAGAGGCTTCAACGGCCGCTTTCTACCCGTGTCTTTGTGATGGCTACGCCGGAAGACAGGCTTTTGTAGCCAAATGGGCACTAAGTATTGGGGTCTTGATCATCGCGGAAATCTATATCTGTTTTTCATCTTCCCTTTTCTTCGCTGTTGATGATCAATGGTTTCGACATCTCTGGGCCGCTTTTCGCTTGATTGACTCCATCAATCCCTAGCTCAGTGGCCTGTCAGCATGAAATGGATGACTTTCCGACTTACTCGTCATAAATCGGATCTTTATCAAACAACCTCTAATGACACGCAGGATGTGCAGTCGAAGAACTCGAGTGGAGGTCGTGCCGCAACTGAACCGACGTCGGCCATTGCCCTAGAATGACAGCAAGCAATCGAGAGCAACACTGCTGTTGCTGAGAGCTGGTATCACCACGACCTGTCCTGGCGAGATTCGGCTTAGAATCGCGATAGATAGAATATGAGCACCGTGGTCTTGCGCTGCATCTACTGTTTGTAAAAAAACAAAGCTGAAACCTTACCACCAGAGGGAAAGCATCTGGCTGACCCAGGAGCTATGGCGTGGTCAGTCTCCAGCCCAAGGTGTCCACTCAAAGATAATGGGTACCAAGCAAGCAGCCTAGCACTGTCTTCCCCGTTGTAGACTCATCATAGCGTGGCACAAGGGAGATTAGAACCTACTGTCTCTAAAATTGTGATAAGTCGGTACCAATATCTACATCATCATCGCGTGGGTTGGGGACTTTATCATCGGACTTAGGAAGGTACAGAAGCCCAGATGACAAGTATGTGAGCAAATGGCGCGATACTCGGGGCGATCCATCTCGCCCTCTTTTCTAAAGCTCGTGGAATGCAACAATGGAATCTATCAGTAAGGTTGAAGAGTCATTATCTAGATGCAGTTCTGTACACACAACAAGCTTATACATCATACAAACTCAGCTAACGACTTAGCATCTCCAGTACTGGCATAAAAACAAAAGCTAAACCTCTCCAACCACCCTGTTGTCGCATACATTCAGTCGAAACAGCACGGATCCCATTCCACCTTCACCTTCTCTCCGAACTTGACCCGCATTCCCAGCACATCTTCAAGTCTCCCCACCGCCCATTGCACAGTACCCATCTAGCTTCTGACTTGAGCGGTATTTCGCTTTTCCTCAAACTGTCTGAGCATACTTGCGTGCCTCAGAACATCGTTTCTTCGTCGCGCTGCTATGCGTGCTGGAAGCTCTCCCTAGAACTCCAACGTATTGCAGACGTGAAGAGAAGCAACAAGCTGAGCCCTGGTGTGCTAGTACACTGCCATTTCCTGCCCAGTGAATGAGCATATGAACCAGCTGGTCATCCTCTGTCGTAATGCAGATATGTTGCCTCGTATCCTTGCCACATCTTCAAGGTCTTCTGCCTTTCTGGCCCATTTCCTGAACCGCTTGAGATCTGCTTTCAGTCTCTTGAAATACGTCCCCAAGCCTTCGATATGTCGCAATTCATATCTCCGCTTACGCAACAGTTTCGATGAATGAAGGAGAAACCTCGCCATTCCCATGGTGATGATGAATCTTTCGTCAAAGCCCCTCATCCAAGTCTCCATATCTGGACCACCTTGGAAGGCAAGGCATTTTGGATACTCCCCTTCTGATAAGAGTCGAGGAGGTGCCTTCATTTTGAGCCGCGCAGTGAGAATATAAATGATATTTGGACAGCTCGTCTGGCGCACACCTTTTTTCATACAAAAGAGACCCAGCACTCGTGGTGTCGCTTTGAAGCAATCCCTATGGATGTCCTGTAAACTGCGGGGCAAGGCGCTGGATGTAATAGGTTTTGATTCGGATAACCTCTGCCGTCAAATTGCAACAGTCAGTACCCATGTTAAGCTCTTGACTGGCGATAGCCAATACTTACAATCGGGATTCTCAAGTTGTTGACGCAGTGATCACTTGGTGATAATCACACACGGCTCCCAGGATGCTCATAGGCCGAATTTCTTGGTTCGCGTATACTGTTATTTGTTGATACAGGCTTGTAGCTGGAGATATTACAAGGGTTAGCACCTTGGTCTGGCCAGCTCCACCGTCAACTCACATCATAGGCCGAACAAATATTCTCTCCAGCACAGATGCAGTATGAGTGACAGTCTGGAGATCAAAGGTTGTAAATCAAGCGCGGAATTCTGCCGTACACAATATTGATGATTGTGGAGGGGCCGTCAGTTGGTCCTGACCCGGCGAGGTATGAGCGAGACTATTTTGAGAAGGGGATGAGAAGAGAGAACGGCATTTGAAGTTGTGCCCGTGCCAGTGTATGTCAGGTACAGCCAGTGCTGTCGCCCGCCACCTGGCTGGCATCAAGAGCGCGTGATGTGAACGTCGGCTGTCAGGCCGGACTTTACCTGTATTTAGCTACTTTACGTCGGATAAAAAGAGGGGGTGGTTACGGAAGGTCGTAGATAAAATCCCACACACGTATTCACGTATGTGAGAATAGAATGTTTCGTCATCTGTATAACGAAGCGTGAAATACATTCAACCAGGAGACGTCATTACGAGGAAATGAGATCGAGACATTGCGTTAGATTAAACAACAAAATACAAAACACAAAATACAGTGAACAGTGTTAGGGCTGAGATAACCTGGATCTCAACATGAATCACACCGTAGGCTCCAGACCAAAGGGCGCTTCTTCAGCCATGAGATGATCTGATATGCCTTTCTCAACAGCTTGATTCAGCTCGGGGAATTTGGAAAGTTGGTTATTGAACTCCTCCATTTCAGGAATCTCGCCGTACATAACTCGTTCGCAAAGCTTGAAAGCCTGCGTCATGACCTCGCAGAGAAAGTCGAAATAAGGCCGTGCAAACTCGAGTTTGTGTAGACCTGGAGTGACCAGAAGCTTGTGGCAATAAATCATCCTTCGCGCTTGGAGCCCCTAGTAAATGTCGGAAAGTCTTTTTTCCGAGAGCCAACAGGGTCTTCTTTTCCTTCTCTGTCGGAACTTGGGCTATGGCGACTGCTTGTTGTAATCGATTTATTTGATGAGTCGGAGCTTGCAGGGTGAGGTGGCGCCGGTGCCTTACCTACAGCCTCGTCCGACGCCGCTACGCTAGGCCATGGGCATGGTGCTGCTGCGGAGGGAGTGAGGTTGCTGATATATAGGAGCCAGCTCTGCGACGCTGAGCCGGGAGGTGCAGAGCCGTGATACGTGGGTGTGCGTGGGTGTCGCTGGGGTATTTATCGTTGGGGAGATGGAATCTCTGTTGAACTGACTACCCTAAGACTCTGGCCGAGCTGTTGTCTGTGGCTACTCCTGAGCTGGGCTTGCTGTGACTCTGGTGTTGCGCCTGTTTGTTGTTTATTTGTGCTTGCTCGTAAGCTTGATGTGATTGTATCGCTGGATATGCTGCGCTTATTTGGGCGTATCGTTTGTGATTGCTTGCAAGCTTGCTCTTACTATTGCTATTGTTGTGGTGTTGTCGCTGTGTGTTGATTGCATTTGCTTGTGAGCTACAATTGCTCAGATGGTGTCGTTGCCCGTGATTGCTCGTGAGCTTGGCGCGAGTGTGTGTTGTTTGTGACTGCTAGCTGTGGTGCTGTGATTGTGTTACGGTATGTAATCTTGCAACATCTCCTTCCGCTCGGGGCGGTCGCAAATAGAAGGCGTGGTCTCGATGGAATGGTGCTTGACTTGTGAGAAGGAGTTCCTCTGCTAACATTGCGGTCGGCCAGCTGGGCGAGATCAACAGCCAACACAAAACTGGTTGTTTAGAGAGATGCGATGAAGCAACTTTAGCAGTTAGAAACAGGGCAGCGGTGTCGTATCAGGAAGAGGATGCTGGTTGCCTGTTGTGTTTCGGGTGCTGAGGCCGGTCTTGCTCACCTCGGGCTTCATGGGGCGATGCAATGGTCTCTAATATAATATCTGTGGACGCGGACTCGCTCTGATCGTTGCTCGTCAGCTCGTCTCGTCTCGTCTCGTACAGGATCGGCACCGTGGTCGTCGCTAATATTCCTAAGCAGGATGAGATCGTTAGCTGTCAGTCTCTCGAGACACGTCTCTCGGACGCGAATCATCAGAGGATGAGGGTGAGAACCCGCTGGGTAACTCACCGCGAGATATCGAGGGCGATGATCTGCTACAGCCTGCAGTGTTGTTGTTGTTGCTGTTGCTGTTCCTAGCAGGGGTAAATTGTTCCCTGTAGGTTTGGGAACAAATCCGAAGCCTAGAGGCACTGCCAAGTTGAACCGCTCGGACCAACCCGATCCTTTAAGTCTCCCCTCCTACGGAATAACCTGTACAGAGATAAGGGCCAGCACTTCATAAATTCGCAGGAGGTGAGTCCTGGTAGGAATGTAATGGCGTAGGATTTACTGTTATCCATCCAATATGGTTTGTCTCAGACGCTGGTGTTGTGTTGTCTCAGATTATGTAGCTATTAGATCATCCAGATTTATCAGTGAAATTGAGATGACCTCACAAGGCTGTTACCAAATGACGTCGCATCACAATAAGACGAACACAATAGTGTTTCTCTTGACCTGCTTATTATTTTAATATATATATAATTAAGCCTATTGTGGTTCGTGGAAATCTGATCTACCGACTGCACCTTGAACCTCTTTTGGTGTTGATCTGACGGCTCTGAGGCTTAGCAATAKCAGTATTAATCTGATTGACGTGTGATAAAAGTTACAACGTTATGATCGCCAAAATGAGGCCTGTACAATGTTATTGCCTCCATGGTGATGCGACAACATTTGGTGATGTTGCGAAGTTATCTCAATTTCCCTAGGTATTCCTGATCTTTGGTTGATTGACAATCACGTGGCCTGTTTCTAGTCCGGATCTGTATCGTTGTCAAATCTGCAGCATGCCTCTCTGTAGGTAACAACAACAGTGGCGGCCAAGTTCTCGCCACTAGCGCAGCAGACCATCAGCAACGACGTTTTGCAATGACTTATCTAGTAGTTCTTATGCGTGTGGAGGCACCGACCGCTGACGTTCGGCCTGTGCAGAAATAGCTCTCAATGACGACGATGACGACGATGCTCATTAGCTTTACAATGTCCAGCAAGCATTGAATCCGAGTCCGCGTCCATATATCTCGATCCAACCTTTTTTCGTCGCGATTCCTTCTGCCGCGAGCTTGCGATCGTCTGCCCAATGACTGATCGCACCATCAGCAAACGAACTGCCTCCCATATGACCTCGCAGCGAAACCCCAGCGACTTCCCTCCTCCCTACGACGGGATTTCTCCCTGAGACGAACCCTTATCGTGGACGTGACAATGCGCATCCCTAGCTCTAAGAGGAGAAATAAATCGTTTCCTGTCGCCACCGAGACCGCGCCTCCCAGACAGCCGTCGCACCGAGCCGAAAAAGATGTTGGAAGTCACCAGCGATCTGGCAGCGGACGATCACTGTGACAGCTGGGCGAGATGTGAGTCAGTGACCATTACGGAGACTTCAGGGCGGTAAGCGTCTCCTCGGCCACGGCCTGCTGATCTAGCTGATCGGTTATAGGGACATTCGATGCTGGATGGCGCCGCCTGAGGCGCGGCGATTACTCCTCTCGATCGTTTATCTTGAAAGTCTGCCGGAACGCAAAAGCTCGCCACCGTGCTGAACCATCAACCCTCTCCCCCGACAAGCATCCAGCTTGAGCGAAACCACAATATCAGAGGGCTTCTCAGCCCCTCTTTGCCATGCGTCCTGGCTGAGTGTGTGACTGAGCTGAGCGCTAGCGGTTTCTCGTCAAGGTCGAGAAGCCAATAACAACAGAACGCGTCGCGAAACGTCAGTACGGTCACTGATTCATTCCTCGCTGTAACGAAACGTCTAGCTACTTATTCAGCTAGACTTATCTGCCCTTTTAGACCCCATTTTCTTTTGTGACATCACGGACTGGTATGAAAGCTCCGCCTCCATCCTCGATCCTCCACGACCTTGCGACGCCAATCCTCATCGAATGGTCAACATGACCTCTCAGCACTCCTCGCATACGAGCCGATTTGCTGTCCGCTCGACCGTGCTACTGCGCTAAGTATCGTCGTCCTGCTACTCCGCCGCCGCCGAATCGTTGCACCAACTGCTTGGAGGGTCTTGACCTCATCATCCTCACATTGCCTGKTTTCCGCGACATCCTGATCAATAGCCAGACGATGTTGTCGTCGATCTATAGGTGCTGGACGGAACTGCCGCTCCCGAAAGCGTGCAATGAATGTCACATTGGTGGGTGAACAGTGTCACCAGAGTTGCCCGAGGGACCCAGTCTCTCTGCATAACCCTGCGACTCGTCCACGGAGCCCGGTTTCCGGTCACATTCTTCCGACCAGTCCTTTGCCGTACAGTCCCTCACCGACTCTCATCTTCTACCGCCGCTATCGTCGAATCGTTTGTCCATGACATTTGGACCAACTACCAACAACAAATTGCTAATGCGTCAAGCTCCTCACTCAACTAGCCGTCCACGACGATCTAGACCGAGAGAAGCGGTACGATGGCGTCGTGAAGCATAACCAAACCATCCTCTACCAAATGGACGAGAAAACTCGAGTTATTGTTTGTGGAGAGGGTGGGCATCCGTTTGCATTGCACCCCTTGCACCTAGGACGGAGTCGCCTGCGGCATCCCAGTCATCCTCTAGTCGAAGACGTCAATGGATAGTACACTCCAGCTGCAGACTTTGACGGCTGTTGCGCAAGTCCATGCCCAGGGCTGTCAGCGCATCTGACCTGGTGCCCGCCCACCATCACAGCGTTTCATCGGCTTCCCTGTCTTCCTCGACGTGCACAGATCTTCCCTGTTGAGGGCTCCGGCAGTTCCTGACGTGGGCATGGTGCTGTACAAGAGTAGGAGTCCGCCAGTGGTTGAACAACGAGATCATCGACTCAGACGTCACCTTTCGTCAGAGACCTCGCCTCTTGGACCACAAACATGATCAAAAGTCTAACTGCACGCCGCAACAAACGCTTCAGGGTTGCTAAATGCTTGGGGAATTGTCACTCATCCCTCGAGAATGTTCTCCGGAGAACAATACAAGGGATAAGGCTATGTACAACTCCTTTGTCGGTATGTTCGGTCTGCTCAAGGCTGGCGATCTGGAGGGCGTAGCCAATACCCGCAGGGTGTGGCGTCTGTCGGTGGCATCTCTTATCTGAATTGTCTTGCGAGCWGTTCTTTCTGATCAAATGGAGTGGTGGTGACGCGATGCTGGTTGCGTTCCAGTTGAGACCGATAAAGAGCCAAGCTGACAGAAGAAGCAACTGGCGAAGCCAGTGTCGAGGTAATTGATGAAGGTTGATCACGGCTGATGAATCACGCTATAGGCTAACCGGCCGTCGTCGGCGACAACTACAGTAGAGGAAGGACGCGCTGATGCGATGGGACGAGGCTATTCTGCTGTCAGGGCAAACAAAGAGGCGTGATTCATACAGAGAGCGTTTCGAGGAGTAGTTCACACGGTAGAGGGAGGAGCGCGGTTGATGCGAACATTGTGGTTTTCGTCTCAACGAAGGGCAAGCAGCTTAAATCGAGATCGACGAAGAAGCTTCGAATCAACGCGCTACAGTCGTCGCAACGAACTCAAGCCATCTCGGCCGCTCACTCCGCAGTCAGCGCAACGGACCCAGGCGCCTTCGATCGAGACGGCTCGAGTCACTACAGCGAACCGCGAGCCTCTTCAAAAACCTCAATCAGACATTCGGCCACTATCGCACCCCAAAGAACTCTTGCAATACCTCATCGAGCACAAGCTAGCAATCCCCGAAGAACTCAAATCTTGCGACACCAGGAAGACCGATAATACATTCGCTCGGGTTGTAGTCTACAAGGGCCTCGAGACGGACGAGGAGGAGGGTGTGTGGAACGCGAAGGAGCACGATACCGTGGACTGGGCCGAGGACGAGATCACTGTTGAACCTGCAGGTGACAGTAGCGAAGGATGACGAAGAGGTGGAAGCTAAAAGTCGGGATCACGTTGAAGAGGGCCGGAACACGTGGGCCGATGGTTCTTTTCATCCCGTAGGTAGTAAGCATAAGACAGACCCAGCACACCACTAGCTGCCCATCTCCCCAACACTTACCTACATAAGATAGCGACTGATGTACTGAGACCGTGATCAAGGTGAAGACTCGCTCTTCTTGTTGGCCAACGTTAGGACATCCCGGCGCGCTTGTGAGTCTGCATTAGTCATCGAAAATTTGCTGTCACAAATTTTGGATGACATCAATAGGACCCCCATAACCCGCAACCCCTCTACAATTACAAGGAAGCTTCATCGCTCTTCGCAATAGAACGCGCGCGCGTGATCGCATCGATCAGACACACCTTTATTCTTTTTTCCGACTTCGTCTACTGTCTTCCCGATAGTCCTGCTGCATCGGCGCGCTCAGTATTTACTATGGCGACTCAATCCGATACCTAACCTCTCCCGGGATACCCCGCTGCCGAGATCCTATACAGCATGTATGATCAGGGGGCCCCAATATCAGCAGGTGGCATAGAGTGAAACCGAAGACTCGAGTGAGCGGCGCTAGGTTCGAGGGCAAACCGTACGACACCTGCTGATCGCAAGCAATGCGGCTGCACAGACTGTCATAGCACAATAGAGAGGGCCTTTCCGAATCGAGATTGAAGACATGGGAGCCATGATGACAACGACCATCAAGCGCTACTGTGAGAGACCCGAGCTCAACAACCAAGGGCTATTCGACTGCCTTGAAAGCCCATTGGAAGAGATCAAAGACCGCAGCACGCTCGATCGAAGGCGAGAGGACAAGCATGTCATTCACAAGACGTCTTCTAAGAAGTTCAAGACCAACCCGCACGTCGCATACGCATATTCGCAGATGCCAGCGAACGAATCAAGCCAGTTTATAATGCCAGAATGCCCCTCGGGATCAGGGTGCAGCGCTCGGGCGACTTTGCCACTACCAAGCCCTGAGGCCTCGCAACTGTTGGGACCTGAGGCTCTAGCAGCCTTCACCAAGCTGCTGAACGATGCGGCCGAGAACTCCAGACCTGTGATACCATTAGGCGGTGGAGTCTGGGGCAGTCACGTACAGTAAGACGTGTGCGCTATGCGCTGGGGCAGCACTAAGAAGTCGACTGCCATGCTTGCGCGGCATGCGAACCTGCAATACTTTGCGACACCAGTCGAGGTGGCCCAGAGAACGAGACCGATGCCACCCGTCTGCGAAACTGCCCCTACGACATCGATTTCCCCCAAGCACCCATCACATCGCGAGATCGATATCCAGACACTCAACCCAGCATCCAGCGCGAAGCAACCCCTACGTACCTCTGTTGTAAGACCTACAGATCAGATCAGTCTGGCCGGTAGTTATGAGCCCGGTGGGAAGTCATTCCCGCCACTCTCGCTGTATTCTTCCTTCATCTTCATCTAGCGATCACGGATGCCTCGCCACTTCTCACATCACCAGACAGGACGTGAAGATTGGAGAGCGTAGTTGCGCCACCGCCATGATTGTTATCATCTACCCACGCGGAAGACGTCCTCCTTGGACTTGGGAGCGGTCTTCCTACTGGAAGACGAGGAACCGGCGACGACATCATCCATCTCGGCCTCCCTCACCGCATCCAGGGCCTCACGAGTCAAATGGGAAGGGGAAGCGCTAGATCGATCGCGGCGGAGAAGGGCCTGTACGTACGTCGCGGAGGTCGACGCTAAGTTCACCTCCCTGACCCTGATGCTCGGCGAGGAGGTTCGAAACCAGTCAATTGAGATGACACCAAGCAATGGATCGGACCTGCATGTGGATGCAACCACTCTCAGCAAGCTCAGTTCACAAGCAAGCACAAACAACGTTGTCACAACAAACCCAGCTCGGAGGAAACCTAGCTCACGAGTAAGCATAAGCAATGCAGTCACCAGCAAGCATCAGCAAGCACAAAGAACACAGAACGTACCATTCCACCAACATAGAGACACCTTCACATATTCTGGCAGCACCCACGCATTTCATTCCATACATCATAGTTCTGAAGCTTCCGGCTCAGTCAAGGAAGATAAATGAATTTGGTGAACTGGATTCAAGCACATTTTAGACAATGTAGATAACAGCCTTGCACGCGGCAGGGCTTGACTGACTATCTCTCCTTTCAATTTGGGTTGGCCATGTGCTTAAGAGAATGCGCCTACCTCAAACTGGCTGCTCATGTACCCACGCACTCGACGACGCACTTGTCGTCGAGAGTTTGTAGGCGATGGTAGATGCCTGAAGTGATAGCCAAGTGGATGATTCCTGCTAGTTTGCGGTGAAGTCGGTGATCAGTAACAATTTTACGTGCGCTCCTGACCACGAGAGTGGACTGTCCGGTGCTGCCAAACATGGGGCCGCAGGGAGGCAGCAAACGGCTTGGAACAGACTTATGGCGAGAGGTTTCGGCTAAGCAGCGTGCTGGTAGGCTAGGCCGGTGGGTTTAGCGAGCAAAACTTCTCACGCGAAGCTGGCGTAGGCCTTGAGAGTGGGTAGATGATCAGACTTTACGATGACAAGGTACATCGCAATGGAATATAGCTATGTAGAGATATGCAACTCGATGTCGTCACTGATAGTTGGCGCGGAAGGTCATATGTTCGTCGAAGAATCGCTAACGGTGCCGCTTTTCGTTTTGCGGCGGAAAAGACAATGGGTAATCGAGGAAGCGCGGGAGATCGTGAGAAGATGATACGTGGGTTGGGGCAAAGCGTCTGTCGCATAAGATGCTGGACTTGGCATAGGAAATGTATGATAGCTACGCAAGCTCGTGGAACATCGCGTGCTTTCCTTGCAAAGTGGTCAAAACTTGTTCGCCGTGGGACAATTCGAACAAGGGAAGGTGTTGAAAAGAGCAAGCACGTTCGTGGAACGGGCCTCATCGCTGCCGGTGCAAGGGCTTGCTTTTGTCAACTTCTTCTTGTCCATCCGCTAGGTAGATCCAAGATAAAGTCGGCTTTTTTTTTTTTTTTTGGCTCCGTCGAGCATCAGCAAAAGGTCGTCCCCTCTTCCAAAGTCGATGGTCAGTATTCGTGTGAGGTGTCGTCGACTTGCGGCAGAGAATAGTAGTGACCATCATGACTTATGTGACCTGTTATCTGACACCCACAAAGCGTCTTGGCAGTGTCGTGGCGCCAATGGAATCGATGCTCTGCCGTTGTTGCGGATGGCGTTTATGGGACGCATTTAGAGATGACTACTGAGCTAAACATCGTTTTGTCGACTTTTGTCACATAGTAACACATCGCATCAGCTAGCAATGAACGGCTGTAGCGCACCAGATTACGAAGCGCGCGATACTCGAAGGGCGAAAATTCCTTCGTTTATTTTTTATCGAATTTTTCAAGTCTCTATCGAGCGCGCCGACGACGTTATCTAACGCGTCTAATTTAGCCCTGAGTTCGACAGCACGAGTACTCCAATCCCAAAGAAGCGAAAAACAGACGACGTCGTCGAAGAAGATTCTGAATGACTAACAGCAGTATTAGTCCAAGCGCACATCATTCTTCCCTGCGGAATATAACATCTCCGGTGCCACCAAAGAGCCCTTTCATTTCTTGTCAACCTTCATCATCTGGACCGTCTTGATTCTGCCAAAGATTGTCCGAGCTACAGAGAGAGAACGACGGAATCCAAATTCGGTTTTTGCAAAGTCCCTTGGACCCTAAACTTCCAGGGTTAATAAAGGATGCCTTGGTCGTTTCTACTTAGTTTCAACGCGACCAACATGTCTTCTCGCCGACCCTAGACACGATCGCAGTAGCAGGTATCACTGAGGCATATTCACTAGATGAAGTCACCATCTGTATTCTCCCTTAAATTCGGGAAGTCACCTATCACTTGCCGAGGCTGGCGATTGTGTCCTAATGCCTGCCAAGACATGTTTTACAGAGAACGAGCATGAGTAAGTCTGGAACGTGGAAGTGAGACAGCACGATGAATCCAGGAGACTCGAGTCTAATCGCCTCTTTGACTTCAGCAAATGGTAAACACAGATCGCCTGTCCTGGGTCTTCTACGCTCACTGACCGCTCCCTGTGTAGCACTACCGCCCTCTACTACACGAGACCGCAAAACCGACTTTTGCTTTTAAATCGATACTACATGGGTCACGTACGTGTCAAAAACTGTCGCCTCGCGCCAGTCATCTCTTCTGTGTAGCCTCAGCAACTCCAACAAGTTTGCCAGTTCCGCTTTCTTCCCATCATCATTGCGAGCAAAAGAGACTCAAACGGTTCTGACGGCGCCATCCCATACTGCACGTTGGAAGATGCTGCTGGGGCTGCTCCGGTAAGATGATCAACACCACGTGATGGATGAGGAGGGATAGAAATGCGCACTGGCCACTCCCGGGATAGACTTCCTAGGTCATCTCGTTTCGGTTCAAGCCAGTTGACAAGTGCTTGTTTCGAGAATCAGTTGGCGAACGCAAAACATCGGGGTTGAATTACACTGGTGGGGGAGACTTCATCTGTCGAGGCATGGGAATGCTCACGTAGGGGGTCTCAAAAGGAGGAGACCGGACATACTCCTTTCGGCTGCGGCTAGCTGAGCGGAGCCACTCAGTGACCTTGTGAATACGGCCTGAGATGCTGCTGCTATCTCCGATGCTTCTGCCTCAATTGTGGCTCCTGTGGGAAGTCGGAACCGGAGGGCTGGCCTCTGAAGCCTGATCATTACTAGATGATAAATTGTCGATCATACCGGATGCAACAGCGCCAGCCTGGCGATGTCGCTGGGCGTGTTGCAGAGAGGTAAGAGGCGGTGGAGGGGGCGAAGCTAAATGCCTGAGCTCCTTAAGACCAGGGGGTGCTGGAGGAGGAGGCGGTGGTGGCATAGGGTCTTCGTGAGAACGACGCTCACCAGGGACAACTTCGTCGATACGTGCAATACTATTCTTGCGTGTAAAGCGAGCAGGACGCTGGCCAGGCTCATCAGGAATGGAGGCTGACACACTGCGAGGAATAGGAGGCCGCGCCGGTGGCTGGCACACGGTGGATGGCAGCAGAGTTAGACTGGGCTCAGTGACTGGCTCTTCTCTCTCAGGAGACTGTTGAGGCGAGATTTCTGGCGAGTGGTTGAGAAAAGCCGGCTGGAATACTAGACACATCCCACCTAGGCGTGCTTCCTGATTGATCATGGTTGCTCTCAATGATAAGGCGCATGGCTTTCGGGGTCACTGGAAGCCCGATAACAGGTCCATTACGGGCATGCATACTCTTTTGTGGTGGCTCAGTAGTACTGCGGGGTGGGATATCGCCGGGCAGCGGCTTTGGCTCAGCCGTCTCAACCGTAATCGCAAGAGCAGGAGAGAATTCGTTAGGGTGAGGGATTGAAGGTGTTTGGACACGCTTGGCCAGAGACTTGCGGCGCTCCTCGAGTTCCCGTGCAGCCTGCTTCTTCTTTCGCTGACGCTCGTCCTTCATTTGCTTGAGATCACCGGCATACTCAACTGAGGCAGCTCTACCAAGAAGAGAGATAGAACCATCGAAGTTAGCCACCTCAGAGTTGGTCCTGCGTCGATGTCCCGAAGCATCTTGCTTACTTAAGGCCGCTGAGCTAAGACCTCGGCTGCGACTGCGGCTGCGCTTGTTCCTGGATTCCTCTTGGGCAGCCATGACTTCTCTGTAGTTCTTTTCATCCTGAGAGCTTTGATCATGGTGAGTGACAGAACTCAGAGGCAAGGGTGAAGAAGGAGAACGCTGTGCAGAACTCTCCCGGCCTTTTGGGCTCCTGCGGCGGCTTCCACGGCTTGAATTGCGGCTCTTTGGCTTTACATTTGATCCGCTAACATTACGTACCGTGTTTGGCTCAGCGGCCTGGCCATGTCGTGGAGTGCTCAGGCTCAGTAAGTCCTCCTGGGACACGGGGATGAGAGAAGTAGGCGATCGTTTCGCCTTGGGCCAATCGCGAGCACTAACACGTCCACGTTCCTCAGAAGGTTCTCGGGAGCGTGCAATCTGCTCTCGGCTTCCAGGACGACTGCGTGAAGCATCCCGAGTTCTTGAATGGCTACGCTGGCGACTTCGCTGTCTCTGGGAGTAATGACTGGCACCATCCAAGCTATGGATGTAGTCTTTTCGGTTTCGCACAGCCTGATGGCGAAAACTTCTTCCAGCGCTTGATGCTGAAGTGACAGAACTTGTCATAGAGGCAGGATTTCTGCGGCGAGTTGGCCAGTGGTAGCGGGTAGAAGATGTAACCTGCTGCTCTGGAGATGTGATGTCATCGTGGGCAGGCCCAGGATGCAGCTGTAGGTTCACACCCACAGGAATGCGTAAAAGTGCGTCGTACAAGGGGGGGACGCTCTGAGGTGACAGATAATTAGCCCCTAATTCTGCAACTAGAGTGGGTAATGTTGGGTGCAGTAGACCTGGGCAAAGGCATAACCAGCCTTCGTCTTGCCATTGATTACTAAAAATGGGAGGTTTGCGTTTCTTTCCTTTGCACTTACACTGCGGACTGGCGTTTGAACCACTTGCTCGAACCAATCCCTCGAAACATCCTTGTGTACAGTTTCAGTGGCGAGTAATCCTAGGAAAAACACTGGTAATAGGGGTGCTTCAGCTGTAAAGTGAGATCCCGATGTAGGCATGATTCGTATGCAACGGGCAAGATCGTCAAGATTGGCAAGAACTTCCGGGTGATTTCGAGGCAGCCTAATGGAAGGTTCAGTCAGCGAGCGCTCTTGCCGTTATGATCGCCAACGCATTAAGGTAGGTAGAGTGACATGGAAGGCAGGCATTGCTTCAGTGTTGAACCGGTCGAGGGGAAAGGAGTGAGTTGAGCTGTTGCAAAATCAACGCCCATTATCCCAATGGATCTCCAACTTCCTTCAGCTTGTCCACTTCTCTCCCTCCTCGGACCTTTTCTTCTCCTTCATCGCATGTTCGTACCTCAGAAGACGACATTGATAATAAATAATTGCGGCGATCCTCCATGCCTCAGCTGTAACCTCGAAGGCGCACGGTCAATAATCCTGTAGCGACATCATACATACATCTTGCATTGAAAGAAGCACGGCCATGGTGATGACCTCCTGCCCTTTACCATTTTCCCTGCTTTCAGGCGCATTGAGGAGTGTGCTGAAATATTGGTCTGCGGTGATATATCGCTGATTGATCCGCTGGCGGATGCGCTCATCCGGAATATAATCATAGATATACACCCCGGCAAGACTCTGAATAGCGTGGAGAATACCCTCGTTCGTATGCATCGGCGCCAGATCCTTCAACCAKAGGTTTGTGTTGCTGAGCACACTCCTTCCCGGACACCAGTTCTTGATATCTGCCGAGTGGTGAGCAAACGCTTGTTCAAGGCACAAAACGCCGATAAGCAATTTTCAAAGACTTACAGAACTCAAGCAATCGTCTGTCAATATGATCCATCTTTGCCTGGAACCCGAACTGAGGAGGCAGCATTTTCGGGTCACTAGCTATCAGAATTTGTGAAGTGTCTGGAAAGGAAACTGGAGAACCTGGCATCGATACTGGCGATGAAGTATTCCTGCATCCTGCCTCTAGGTCCATGAGCGAAACAGTCTCAATTGGCGGGGAAGACACGGCAGGTCTAAAGTTAACTAGGGCTATTATGGTTGGACGGCAACCGGCACTGTGTGATCGCGTTACGTTGGGCGTTATGTCCTCAACGTCATCCTCTGACGGGAGTGGTACAGGGCCAGACGGCCGTCTCGATGGAGCTCGCGAAGGTCAATTGAATTTAACATACCCGTTCACCTGTCCATTCTCAGGGCGAGCATAGCGAGGATAGGCAGACACAATCAGCCGGTCCTCATTCGAGGTGAACGGACTTGTAACGAGCCCTTCTACTGGTACCAGGCCGCTTTTCTTTGAGTCCTGTGATTCGACAGCCCGCTCTGGAAGTGCATCGTGCACCGGAGGCAAGAGGCAAGGCAGTCGCTGTGCCTGAGAGCGATGTGGTTGATCTACATGGAACGTCAGCTCAAGAATCAGAGACCACGATTGAGACGATGAGTGTCAACTAAGAGGTGGAAGAGGACGAATTCCAGTGTATTCTGAACCAACACGTCCTCCAAAAGAAACGGTTTGGCACCTTGAGTCCCTAGTATGGACACAATAGGTGTAGAAAGAGTGAATGTGGAAACGAGAAAGGGACAAGAAAGCGTGAGAAGAAGCACACCCTTACCTGGAGAGAGGAAACCAGGAACTGATGGTGTCACTGCATCCGAATGTTTGCCATCACTCTTGGGGCGATAAGGGCACTCGGCGACCTTGGCGGCCGTTAGTATCGACTCGTCTGTCTTCCTTTTCGAGGCTCCAGTCATGGCAAGAAGTGATGACAAGTGTGGGCCTCGGTGGAGACCATAGGTTAGGCTGACTTAGTCTTGGGGAACAGAATCGGTATGTTTTTCGCTCGTTCAATGACTTTAGACCAATGGGATTGGGCCGCTAGAGGATGGGAAGTCGAAATTGCTGAAAGTGCACTTCACAACAAGGCAGGAAATGAGGGGCAAGAGAAAGTAAGTTTGAAGGCACAAGGCAGCCGCAGGACCAGCAAGGGATGAATGCTGACTTGAAGGCGAGAAATGCATTAGTGACCCGAGATCCCTAGCAAAAGCAAATATAGGCCCTGGCGGGCGAGCTGAGGGGCACCGGTGCTATCAACGACGCGCATCGTCATGGCAAATCCGATGGCTGGCTGCACATGCATCTAGGTGTGGAGACAGCCCGCAAGACCCCTTGCGATTTTAGTGGGGTCTTAGCACCTTGATCCATTGCCACAGTTACTGTTGGCGCAAGTACGGTAATTTAAGGTACGGGCTGGCGTCTAGGTACGATTTAGTGCCATCGCTCCAAACGCACAGGCAACAAATTCCGTGGTACGCA